GTTCGTGTGTGTGTGTGTGTGTGTGTGTGTGTACACACACACACACACACACACACAGCCGCCTGTGGCTATATAATCTCCTTACTATATGTTCCATTCTATGCATCTGAAGAAGTGGCCTGTAGCCCACGAAAGCTTATGCTCAAATAAATTTTAGTCTCTAAGGTGCCACAAGTACTCCTGTCTGTCTTATGTCACTCACCAGTGCTTGCCAGGAAAAGGTGATGTGTAGGTGGAGGAATTTCTGGCAGTTTTTCATGAAAGCTGTTGTTAAACTAATCACTTTTCTGTTGACCTGCTTCAGCCCGCACCCCTTGCTTTGCAGTAAGGATGAACCCAGCTTCTGAGTCCATCATATTTGGCCAGACTGTATCTCCTGCAAAACACGGACATGCAGCTCCCCTTGTGCTCCAAACCCTGGTTTCCAGGAATTGCCAGTTCAAGCCACTGTGCCTGTTCCTGACATTAATCAGCACAGCTGTTATGTATTGTCCCTAGGACACCTCTCATCATGACAAAGTCAAGGGCAGCTCACTGGAAAGGTGGAGCTACGAGGAAGCATCAGAGCATTTCAGACCAATCCACTGGGCTGGGTTTTAAATTAAAATAAACAGCCGCCTGTGGGCCTGGGGCAGGAATAACCAGGGGTGCTGCAGGTCAGGAGTCCGGTACTCCGGCAGAGCCAGGCACGGGAAATTTGCACAGTGCTTGCTCACAACACACCTGCTTCAAACTCTTGCTGGTCGGCTGTTCCTTTCAGGAGCACTAACCTCTAAGACGTGCTGGTCCCTTAATGCCAATGTAGGAATAAAACTGGTGCCTTTGAATGGTAAGTCAGCAGTCACAACAGTCTGAAATTTGCTTGGCATGCTGCCCCTCTCTCGGCTTTGTATTTGATGTACAGAGATGGCTTTCTACTCTGTAGGCTGTTTGGCTCTTCCAGGGTCACGAATTGATTATCCAATCGTTCTGTGCATGGGTGATCTTCGTGGGGGGGGGAGTGATTTTTGAAAATTTAACAAACCAAATATTCCAAACCAACCCATGAAGGCACTGTGGAAGGAGGCTGCTCCCTGTGAGTCTTATCAGTGACTTCTCCCTGAAGGTGGAAGGACTGGTGACTTAGTGAGAGAGAGAGAGATTTACCCCATATACAAATACATCCCATACCAACCTCTTCAAAAGACAACTGTTACAAGGCACCTTTAGCTCCCGTCCCCAGAACGTCTAGGTAATTTTGGAAGAACTGCACCAGCTGGCACCACTAGCCTTACTGTCTGCTGGAGCTGGCCAGCTGGGGCAGCACTTACTCCTGGAGAGCACCCCGACTGCTACACAGCAGTGTCTATATTTCTGATCAGACTCCTGTCATCCTGAAATCAAGAAGGCAGCTGGAAGAATGATACGGGATGGCTGTGTGTTTAAAAGTCTATCCCAAATAGCCCAACAAACTATGACTCCAATACCCGGCATTCCAGTTTCTTCCACAGTTTAATCTAGACTATGTTGATGACCGATTCTACCTCTAAGTACATGTTCAGATGTGTACAGGACTACTCAGTCCTTTGAAAATACAACTTTACATTGTTGTTTCTCTGGTAAATTGCAGTGTGAGAGTCCTGGGTGAAGGTGGATCTCCTTTAGTGTGTAGAGAGAACTTTAAATTAGGTTTAATTGAAATAAAACTCCCTGAAATGTTTAAAGACAACTCACTTCCTGCCTCCATCCCTGCTCTGACATGCTCCTGTGAGATTTCCAGTGCTTACTGATGCTTCTTCAGAGCTCTGTGCTTTGCCCATCACTGAGACAGTGGTGCTGGATTCCGCTGGCTCTGGGTTAGTAAGGTGCTCAGATGCCATGGTGATGGGCATAGGTGAAATTAGATATGACACAAACGGCCAGGTTTCACTCCTGAGAGAGAGCAGAGCAGAAGCTCCACTGTAGCATCCCAGGGACATTGACCACTCTCCTCTGGCCAGGACTCACTACCAGAGCTGAGCTACGCAGCCACCTGGGCACCTTTTTGGTTTATCTGCGTTTTGTGTGAGCCACAGGTTAGAATTGCTACTTTCTTTCCAGCATATAAATCCTAAATGAGTATTTACCCTCCACATCTTATTCTAAATCTCAGAGGCTCATGGAGACTCATTTTCCTCTCCTTCCCTGAGGCTGTAGCTGAGAAATGGAGCATCTTACATGTTTCCATTGCTGATCCCTGGTCCAATGGTGCCTCCGCTCACCACCACAGAGCGGCGTGGATTCAGCAGCAACAGGGGCTCCAAGCAATGGGCAAACTCAGCCCTGTACTCGGTGTTTATCTGCAGGGGCCAAAAGGAGACCGATTAGAACATGTGGTAAGGCAGGCATACCCAGCTGGATTCTGTTCCTTCAGTGAATATTCTCTTGCTCAGATACCATAAAATGCAGTGGGCTTCAAGACCGAGACAGCCCCTGAACTAGTCAGAACAGGACACTATGTTCTGTCTGAGAACCAGTCCATTCTATCCTTTGCTTGCTGGGGGAGGAGTTTTCTCCATACAAGGAAGAATGAAACACACTTTGGGAACAGGAAATAACCATCCAGTCTAACATGCTGTCTTGGCTTATCCCTTGGGCGGCGATTCTGCTGCCAAGCTGTTTGTGTAAGATGATGGGCATGTTGAAAGCGCTGTGGACTTCAGGCAGCATGGAGCTGGGGAAGTAACAGCAGCAGTAACTCTGGTATCTTGGACGTTTGGAGGTGAACTGGAGGCAGGTTCAGGACAGGGTCCCAAAACTGATATGAGAGGGTTGTATTAAATTCCCGAACGTGGGACTCGAAACAACAGAGCCTGTGAGTTGTGAGGAAAGGGTTTACCTTGCTCGTCTGCGTAGGTCTCAAGCGATGTGGAAGTTTGACTATTTTCTGGAGCCTCTCCATCAGTTGCTGAAATTAAGCAGAATATTTTGTTACAGCTTTCAGCTCCGCTCAGCTCCACGCCTTTTTGCCACAGTCCTGGACACGCTTCTCAATACTGGCCGAGCTTTCAGACCTGCTGGGAGCCCACATCTTCCTGTGGGCACCCAAGAGCACTTGTGAAGCTACAAGGTGGATGGTGAAGGGCTTTTTGCTCAGCTCCACAAAAGGTCTTTGGGGGGTAAGTAAATGTTCCAGGGCCTGGGTGTAGTGACAGGTGCATGTGTCTGCACTTCTGATTCTCTCTGGCCTGGAAGCCTCGCATAGACAGGTGCTGGCTCCTGACTTTGCTGTATTTCTGCTTCCTGGCTCAGCTGACAGCAAAGTGCAGAGAGTGAGAAGATAACCCCCAAAGTATGAATCAGTGAACCAAGAATTTTCCCACCTCAAGTAGGTCAGTGAATTTGGGGCAAAAGGCTGGGTAATTTCTGTACTCGGCTCACCCATCCCTTGCTTCCTGGTGAGAGACATGGCGCTGGACCTCCCTGGTGTTTGTGGAAGCCAGCTGCTAGTGTGCGTTCTGGTCTCGGAATGTACTTACGTATCCCAAATCCAGGAATTCGGCTTTGTTCGCAGAGCTCAAAAAAGCAGAACAGGTGACCAGATGGACCTAGACATAATGACAAGCAGCAGTGCTGTTAATCACATCTGGAGGGGCTGGGCACCTAGAGATGGGCTGTTCTCACTCCTGGGGCAGTTCCCATTTCAGGTATAAGCAGTAAGTGCTAACCCAGCAGATGTCACTACTGCAGAGACAGCGAGGAGCCTGGCAGAGCCAGATGGAAAATCCTGAGGACACAAAACAAAAGCCCTATGTGCAACAGAGCCACCCTTCCTCTGGGAATGAGGCTGCACAGAATCCGCCACTCAGAGGGACAGATCTCGGGAGATACTGAACACCTGCCGCTCATTGACGTGAATGGGTTGGATCCTGCTCCTCTGAACTCCTGGGAACGTAACTGGGCCCAATGGGAGCTACAGCTGCTCAGCCCCGCTCAGGTTTTGGCTCCATTTCCCTGCTCCAGTGTCACTGCTCGTTTTCTGGGAAAACCGTTTCCAGGAGCGAAGTGGTCTGTGAACTCATGCATGGCCTTGCCAACAGACTGGCAAACATGGTGGGTGTTAGCCAATCTCCCAGCATGGAGCTACCTGAAGGTTTCTAACAATTCTGGTCTAGCCCTACTTGAGACCTACTGCAGAACAGCAGGCAAACATGATTGCAATGCCCAGGCCATGTAACTAACTCTTCGATCAGATGGCAGTTTTCTTTTCCTGGGGAATATCATGGAGTTTCTAGGTAACTGAATTGCTGCACTATTTCAAAGAGCCAAAGAATCCTATGTACTGACCTAACTCATCTATAATTCCTGTGTAAGCAAGTAATCAGCCATGAGCATAGCAGGGGGAGAGAGGACAGGATAGCTGAGTCTTGAAAGGAACTGAAAGGGTTGCCTGAGATGGTGCCTACGTTGCAGGAGTAGCATAGCCTGGCATGTGCTTACCTGCAGGGTGGGCAGCAGGGAGGCCAGGTGGGAGAGTTGCTCCTTAAATGCCTTTTCCTTCTCTTCATACTGACTGGAAGTTACAGGGGAAAAAAACATTTCACTTCAGCTTAGAGACCAGTCTGACCTGGACTCCAGACCAGAGTTTAATTGGTAGGACTGGAGTAATTTATACATTATTATTACTGCAAAAAAAAAAAAATCTGGTACAGCTCACCTAGTGGCTGTGTCCGAAGGGAACCTAATAGTATTTTACTGGGCAATACCCTTGACCTCTCTGGGGCTCTTGCAGGTCACTAGGTAATTATACTTAGCCAAGCTCAGGGTCATTATAATGTAACCTGGACTGTGGACTAGAAGATTGGAAAACCCCTGTAGTAAGACGGTGCTGGCTAGTACACTGCACTTGCCATGTTGTTTAATGGTCTGGACGCTGACTGAGAGATGAGTACCCTGAAACTTAGTGGTGTTCATTTGTATTAATATTAAAATATTTCGCAGTGATAAGGACATTCGTGTTCCAGGCAAATATTTTTTTCAAGTTCAAATTGGGATCCAAGTTATTGCAGCTGGAGGTAAGAGCTACGTCCAAATCAACTACTCTGCACCTGCTTCCGTGTCACTGTCCCCGCTGCTGGGGGAGCTGCCTTTGCTGAGGCTCGGCACGCAAAATGGAACTGCTGAAATCTTTGTAAAATACTTACCAAAAAGAAGGGGGGAAGAAGAGTAAAACCTGTAATTGTCCACTGCCGAACACTAAACCAGGTGCAGGAGTCAGCACGTCACTGTCCCGTGGAGCTGCCACCCTGCTCGCAGGGCAGCTGGCCTAGATGAAGGGGCAGGGGCAGGACTGTGCCGGTGCGAAGAGAGGTGCTCGCTAATATTAGCTGCAGCAACTCTTATGCTCATAGTCCGTAATAAAAATGTTGACACTAGAGGGCGCCTTGCTCTGTCTGCTATAGGTAAGACCTGCCATTTAGAGCTACCAGTAAAATGGGAGCGGGCAGGTGAGAGAGAGAGAGAGAAATCAGTAATGCAGATGCAAATGCTGACAGCAGACTCTGTCTGGGAGGAGAACAAAAACACTCTCAACAATTTATTGAAGATGATCACAGTGGCCTTGATCCTGCAACACAAGTTCTTGCCACTGAACGGAAAGGGGCGGGGGAGGGGACTTTTGCAAACGTGGCCGCTCTTCTTCCCAGCACACGTGCCAGTTCAGGTTCCAGCCTTTTCCTGCAAGCCGAGCAGGAATCCAGGGGCTCCTGCACTCTAGTCTAGCTGATCGGACCCAAGGCATCCGCTTGCCTGGGGACAGGCTCAAATGCTAATCTTGGCAGGTGTGCGAAGGAGGAGTTGACTCTTTCGGTTAAATGCAAATGTATCTGTTGCTCTTCCCTCTGCGTGTGGATTCTGTTACTGGGTTGGGATATTGGGGGGTTTTGCAGAAGCCTTTTCTAGCTCCCCTTTAAAACATGTCCGTCTCTTTAGTCGGTTACGTATCCCATCCCAGTAGTAATAAATTATGACTGTGTTAAACCACTGAGTCTGGGTTGGTCTTACCTCTGAACAGCTTTCAGAAGCATCTTTTTTCTCTCTGCTAGTTTCTCCTGCAAAAGGTAGAAATGATCAGGCATTCCCATAGCTAGAGGCTGCAGTTACAACTCCCCCTGCGGAGTTCAAAGAGCCTCCCTGCTCTTGATTCCAAAGGCTTTGCTGAGCTTTCCCCCATGTCCACTCAACAGTGAGATGAGGTTGATCAAAATACTCTTCTGCGTGGGAAAACAGACAGAGGAGAATCAGCGTCTCCCAGACTTATCCCACCGTCAATCGGGGTAACTCCACTGACGTCCATAGCTATACCAGTGTGAGCGAGAGGAGGGCCCGGGCAGTTAGATCATTCCTTTGCTCTGATTTGGCGAAGATCTGAGGCCTTTGATTTCCCCTTATGTGTGGGTGCACTGTTAGTGCCGTAACACCCCGAAGCGGTGTGCTGTAATTAACCCCATTGCTCTCTGGGCAGTCCAACAGAGACAGTCCAGCCGGTGGCTGTGCCAAGCCACTCCGTACCTGCATGCTACTGAAGAGTGAGTTGATGGATGTCTTCTCCTCATCTGCACTGTTGCGCACCTCCTCAATCATGGCTTTGAGGAGGACAATGGCCTCTCGTGTGGACGTCTGGAGCTCTTTCACGGCCTAGGAGGAAAGGCAGCAGGAGGGTCAGTTGCAAGCAAGATGGGGAAGCAGACAGACTGATCCAGGACGTGGGTCCTGAGCCTGGGTACTGTCCACTCCCCACAGCAATGACATTTTACTGAAGCACAACTTACTCCAATACTGATGACAGCGGGAGCAGCCCTCCCAGTGCCGTTCCCTCGCCACAGTAATTTTGATGATAAACATCAACAGACTAAAACTCAGAATGCCTCTCTCAAATGCTACCCACCATCACAGCCTGGTCGAGCTTCTCGCAGCCTTGCATGTACGCAGTCTCGATGTCAATGCAGTGGGCTCGGCTTTCTCTGAAAGAGGCAGAGACCTGGGAATTAGGATCAGCCAGAATCCTGCATAACCTGCAAACCACTCTTCATCTCCTTTCGTCTGACCAGCCAGGGCTATTGATGTACGGCAGTTAACGATGACCCTCTGCTCCCTTGAGGACCGGGGCAGCAGGATACTTGAACCTGGGTCTCTTGCAGCAGCAGGGGAACAATGAATGTGCCCTGCTCCCGCCCATCTATCAGCTGTCTGATAGACACACGCACAGTCCAGAGCTCACAGATCATATGCTGATTATTGACTGTTGACCCCAAAGTAGAATGTCTCTGTCTCCCCGCTGGGCACTCTTGTTACTCTGAGTGCTGCTCTAGGCCCCCCCTTCCCATCACTTTCTTAGACCAGTTGATGATGTTGGTTTCAGCCTGCTTATGTCCTGCTGCTTCCTGGACTCTTTGCACCCATTTCCCCTCCCACCCCACTTTCCTCCTTTAGAAAAACTTCCCCTAGGTCCAGCAACCGCTATTGTTTTAGAATAGCTCTAACTCCAAATAGTGGGGCTCACTGCTCCAGTGGGGACGTTCTCTCTCAGGCCACTTCTATTAACTGCTGCTGCTCTCTGTGTCTGACACTTTCCAGTCACGTTCTCCCTTTCCTGGGCATCCCAAGCTCCGGCTCCTTACGGCCCTGTCCACTCGGGGGCTGCACTGTGATGGCAGCAGCCATGCCTGCTAGTCACCTCTGCAAAGAAGATCCTGTGTCCATTCTCTCTCAGGCTTAGCGATAGGGGCCTCACTGCAGCACCTAAATGCTGCCGTAGCAGATCTCCTCTCTCATGCGGTTTTTCTGCAGCCTCCGTGGAACATAATGTCCAAGGCTTAGGGAGGCGTTTGAAAAGGGTGAGTGCAGGCTAAGGCTGCCCCGTCTGCAAAGGGCTGGGTGAGGGGCAGGGAGACCGCAACTCTGCTACTTACACCTGCATGTCCCGGAAACAGTTAATGCAGAGCATGGATTTTTTCTCTGTTGAAAACATGATGTAAGGTTCCTCATGAAGAGCTGGGAACAAACAAATTCATCCCGGAGTTAAACAAGCTCCCTAAAGAGAGCGCAGCTCAGAATCTAGGGGCAGCTCCATCCTTGGGGGAGAGGATATGCAATAGGTGAGCTGGGTCCACCCCTCCGAGGCTGGAGATGTCTCTTCCTACCCGGTTTCTGAGGAGCTCTTACTTGTGACCGCTCAGCCACCTGACCATAAATGATGCATCCCAGCTCCAGTCTTGCTGCCTGCTCTGTTCAGACAACACCACTCTGACTTGCAGGCTCTCCGGCTGAGCGGCCCGTGGGTCTGGCTGGTGGGGCCTACTGGAGAAGGCTACATGCAGGTTACTACTCAAGGGTGTAGCCCTTTTAATAAACACTTTCCTTATATGCGCACCTTGCAGAGAGCTGTTCCTGGGAACCCTGGCCGCCGTCTGTGTTTACACCTGAATCCTTTGTACAGAAGGTGCAATCTGCACAGGATGTGCTATTCGTTAGCCAGGCACAGTGCTGCTGCACATAGAAGCTGGTGAGTAACTGCCTTTGTGTGCCAACTGCACCTTCACCATGCAAACTGATGGGGAAAATAACGAGCCGATCCGGCCTGCACACCGTTCCTGGGGAGAGAGCCGGTCACTGGGCTGTGCACCCGCACGGGGCAGGAACGGAATACACAGCTCCGAGAGGAGAGACCCTGGATTCAGTTGGGAACGTGACACTGCTAGGCCAGTGTTAATCCTCCCTGTGGAAAGGCTGGCCCGGGTGTAATTGCCCAGGTGGAGCGGGGATGTACTCACAGCATTTCTTGTGGATGTCTTTAGTGCGCTTAGTCAAGGAGACAATCTCGTGGCGAGAGAACATCTTGGCTTTGTGGGTCTCTTCGCGGCACTTGCTGCAGAGGGGCTGGTTACAGGTGTTGCAGAAATACATGGTGTCCATTTCCTGATGGGCAAACGCAGAACAAACCCCAAAGAGCGTTGAACACCAGAGCTCTCCTCAGTGCAATTAGAAACGGCTTTTCTCAGCTAAGGGGGCATCTGTCTGTCTCTGTGCCAGAAACTACCATGGCCAAGGACCCGGTCCAGGACGAACAGGGCAGGTGTTAGCTTTGTGCTTAGCACTGCCCTGGTCAGGCTTCCCCTGCTGGACTCTCACCAGGGTCCTACCATGCTGGACTCATGTGCTAAGCCTCAATTGGTCTGGGTAGGGTCCAGCACTGTCTGGCTTTGGCCTCTCTGGCCCACTTCCTGGGCATAGGGCCCTGTCTGTTACCCCTTTACAGAAGTGGGACTTCATGGGTCAGCTGCCCATGGCCGCTCGGACCAGTGCTGGCTCCCCGTTCCCAAATGGCGTAAGCACACCCCTTCTCAGAGCTCCACCTTGTGGGCACTGTGGTTGACTATTTACCTCTCCAGGGACACGTGACAGAGAAGCACCTAACACACAGGCTTTGCAAAGGTTTCTAACACAATTGCTCTTCACTTTAGACAGCACACGAGATATACAGAATCCAGGTAAAACCCATAAAACAGCTACATGCCCTTCTCTGCCTCCGCTTCCTCCCCACTCGTGAGCATTCTTTGGGGTTTGGTCGAAGTCCTGTAGGGTGTCCAGGAACCCCTTCCTGAATTATCGAGTCTCTGTCTCTTTCCTGCAGCCAACTTTGTTCTGCTGTCTTCCCCTGACCCCTCCCCCCCAAATGGCTTGAGACCCTGCTTTTTATAACTTCCACTTCTTTGTCAGGTGACTCCCCCTAATCAGCCTCGTCAAGTGATCAAAGTTCCCCACCCAGTGATCAGTTGGCTTAATTACCTGATCACCTGGGCAGACTGGTTCTTCTGAGGGGTAGCCAACTCTTTGTCCTACGATGCTTCCATTTGACTAGATAGAGGATCATCAAGGTTTGATGACCCTCCATGATTAGCCCTGTATCACTGCCTTGGAATTTCAGTCTAAGATGGAGGTAAAAGGACAGCAGAGAAAGCCCAGACCAGCCTTGCAATGACAATGGAGTGAGTAGTTTGAAATAGATACACACAGTTGTACATGGACAGATTCCTCAGACTGTCACATCAAGATATTTGCATCTCTCACAGCAGTGCAGCAAGAGAGGCAGCATCAAGGGTGGGATGAACAAAACCAATTAAAGAAAAGGTAAAATCTGAGTGTCTGCGACTGAAATCCAACAGCTGCTAACCCTTTCAGTTAGCACAGGGACAGCAGGTAAGTGAGAGCACGTAGCTGAGCTCTGCCACTCCTGAGGCCAACTGAGATAAACTAGCTCAGGCCTCAGTCTGGCCGTCTGGAGTCCAGAAACGGGAGGTGGGAGTAAACTGGAGGGAATGGTTCAGCAAGGCCCCTACCTCCTCACCTGGTGGGTTCCTTTCCAACTGTCCCAGGTCCCTGTTCTGGGGGAAGAGCGTAACCTTCCCCAGCCAGCTGGCCTGCTGCCAGGTCCTGCAGCAGAGTCAGCACCCTGGGTCTGACACTGCAGCACATGCTCAGGGAAATAAACCAGACCGCCCAAATCCAGCCTTGAGACCTCAATGCAGCAGCAAGAGGGCAGGAGCGAGCAAGTGGGGAGGGACACACCCACAGGGCTGCAGAGAGGCTGGGAAAGAGACAGGCCGTAGGGCTGCCCTGGCATCGCTGGTGGGATAGCTTATGTCCTTGGAGTAACCTTTGGAACCAGGAATCTCCTTGAAGCTCTTTGCTACATCAGCCACACATTCCGTTATCTGGCTTTCACTTGCCTTGGTCTCTAGGAGAGGGCCGAGATGACACAGCTGCCACCGGCAGGGAAATTTATTTCCGTTCATTCCAGAATAATGAAGTACCTGCCACTTGTGAGATCTGGTGCCATTTATCCCTTGTTATTCAATGTGTTTCTGAGATGCCCATTGCTGCAGTATCTACATGCGCTTTATGTAGCTTAAGTTACAAGCAGAAACGGCTCTTAAGTGTAGGGAGCAAATACCCCATGACACACTGGCTGCAGCCCAACTTTAAAGGCCCACAACACAGGAAACCTCACCAGGTGGCTGGGGACTCCACAGCTGGGAGCGAGGCAAAAACCTGGCCCAAAAGGTGGTGAGTGTTTGCCACGTTTCTCTGACCTGGCAAAACATGTCACTCTGTTCGCCCTGGACTCACGCTTTTTGGTTCCATGCAGACAGAAAGTAACAAGGGCTGGATGGAGGGAACGGAACAGAACCTCTCTTCTGCTTTAGTCCTTTAGCTTAACAGCACATGCTTAGATGACCCCTAAGCGTAGCACTGTTTTACGAGAAATTGCAGGACAGCGTGTGTTTTTTCTCTCTGCCTAATCCTTTGGCCGCTCCTTTTGGACATGTATTTTTGTCTGGCTAGTGCAGGGAACTGGGAAAAGAAAAGGCCTTTCCTTTCCAGCTCCCTGCTGTGATCTGGTCCAGGCCAGGAATGCCAGCTGCTGGGTATGAAAGCAGGAGGTAGTCGCTGTACAGTTCTAAGCAGACAGGTGTCCATATCACATAAAACCCCACTGCCATGATTGGCACTAATTGGCCCCCTCGATGGCAGTCTCAGCAGAGAGGCTAAGGACCGAATGATCGATTTGGAACTGACCATTCCTCTCATCCACACCAGGGCTAAGGAGATTGGCAGGATGGTACAGAACCCTTTACATAAGAATGGACATACTAGGTCAGACCAATGGTCCATCTCGCCCAGTGTCCTGTCTTCCATCAGTGACCAATGCCAGATGCTTCAGAGAGAATGAACAGAACAGAGCAATTATCATATGATATGAGATGTCCTGTAGTCTGGTCCTTGCTTCTGGCTAAAGGCTTAGGACACCCAGAGCATGGGGTTGCATTCCGGACCATCTTGGTTAATAGCCATTGATGGATCTATCCTCCAGAACTGATCTAGTTCTTTTTTTGGACTCAGTTGTAGTTCTGGCCTTCACAACATCCCCAGCAACAAGTTCCACAGGCTGACTGGGCATTGTGTGAAGCAATACTTCCTTGTGTTTGTTTTAATCCTGTCACCTATTAATTTAATCGGGTGACCCCTGGTTCTTGTGTTATGTGAAAGGGTAACTAACACTTCCTTGTTCACTTTCTCCACACCATTCATGATTTTATAACCCTCTATCATGTCCTCCCTTAGTCATCTTACTTCCAAGCTGAGAAGTCCCAGTCTTTTTAATCCCTCCTCATATGGAAACTGTTCCATACCCCTAATCATTTTTGTTGCCCTTTTCGGTAACTTTTCCAATTCTAATATGTCACTTTTTGAGATGGGGCAACCAGCACTGCAGGTAGTATTCAATGTGTGGGCATACCATGATTTTATATAGTTGCATTATGATCTTTTCCGTCTTAGCTATCCCTTCCCTAATGGTTCTTAACATTGTTAGCTTTTTTGACTGCCGCTGCACATTGAGCAGATGTTTTCAGAGAACTATGCACAATGACTCCAAGATAAGGGAGAAGCTGTGGATGTGGTATACCTAGACTTTAGTAAGGCATTTGATACGGTCTTGCATGATATTCTTATCGATAAACTAGGCAAATACAATTTAGATGGGGCTACTATAAGGTGGGTGCATAACTGGCTGGATAACCGTACTCAGAGAGTTGTTATTAATGGTTCCCAATCCTGCTGGAAAGGCACAACGAGTGGGGTACCGCAGGGGTCTGTTTTGGGACCGGCTCTGTTCAATATCTTCATTAACGACTTAGATATTGGCATAGAAAGTACGCTTATTAAGTTTGCGGATGATACCAAACTGGGAGGGATTGCAACTGCTTTGGAGGACAGGGTCATAATTCAAAATGATCTGGACAAATTGGAGAAATGGTCTGAGTTAAACAGGATGAAGTTTAACAAAGACCAATGCAAAGTGCTCTACTTACGAAGAAAAAATCAGTTTCACACATACAGAATGGGAAGAGACTGTCTAGGAAGGAGTATGGCAGAAAGAGATCTAGGGGTTATAGTGGACCACAAGCTAAATGAGTCAACAGTGTGATGCTGTTGCAAAAAAAGCAAACGTGATTCTGGGATGCATTAACAGTTGTGTTGTGAGCAAGACACGAGAAGTCATTCTTCTGCTCTACTCTGCGCTGGTTAGGCCTCAACTGGAGTATTGTGCCCAGTTCTGGGCACTACATTTCAAGAAAGATGTGGAGAAATTGGAGAGGGTCCAGAGAAGAGCAACAAGAATGATTAAAGGTCTTGAGAACATGACCTATGAAGGAAGGCTGAAAGAATTGGGTTTGTTTAGTTTGGAAAAGAGAAGACTGAGAGGGGACATGATAGCAGTTTTCAGGTATCTAAAAGGGTGTCATAAGGAGGTGGGAGAAAACTTGTTTATCTTGACCTCTAAGGATAGAACAAGAAGCAATGGACTTAAACTGCAGCAAGGGAGGTTTAGGTTGGACATTAGGAAAAAGTTCCTAACTGTCAGGGTGGTTAAACACTGGAATAAATTGCCTAGGGAGGTTGTGGAATCTCCATCTCTGGAGATATTTAAGAGTAGGTTAGATAAATGTCTATCAGGGATGGTCTAGATAGTATTTGGTCCTGCCATGCGGGCAGGGGACTGGACTCGATGACCTCTCGAGGTCCCTTCCAGTCCTAGAGTCTATTAATCTATGAATCTCTTCCTTGAGTGGTAACAGCTAATTTAGACCCCATCATTTTGCATATAGAGTTGGGATTATGTTTTCCGATGTGCATTACTTTGCATTTATCAACATTGAATTACATCTGCCATTTTGTTGCCCAGTCACCCAGTTTTGTGAGATCCCTTTGCAACTTTTCACAGTTAGCTTTGGACTTCACTATCTTGAGTAATTTTGTATTGTCTGCAAATGTTGCCATGTCCCTGTTTACCCTTTTTCCAGATCATTTATGAATATGTTGAATAGGACTGGGCCCAGTACAGACCCCTGGGGAACACCACTATTTACCTCTCCTCTTCAGTCTGAAAACTGACCATTTATTCCTACCTTTTCTTTCCCATCTTTTAACCAGTTACAGATCCATCTGCCATACTGTACTTACTCCTAGGCGGGCTGTGGCTTGACTCTAGAATCTGATGCTGACACTGTTCAAGACCCAAGCACAGTCTATTTGGGGAGATCATAAAAGGACCCTCCAAGCAACAAGGATAAGGCTGGAAAAACTCAGCTGTTCTGAAAATCAGAGCACTCACATAGGTACCTACATGTGGAAGTGTTGGCCGTAGCCTGGAAGCACTTTGGGCAGGGGCTGTGTACTCCTTTGCCTTCTGCAACGTGCAAGGCACGGCTGTGGAGCTGGAGACATAACCAGCCACTGTCTTACCTGTTTCTTGCACTCCTGGTCGCAGTTTGCACACTGAACTTCCTCCTCGCAGTCGGCAGAGCTATCCACAAGGAACTTCAGGAGCCGGTCTACAGGCGGGAGCCCGTTGTTTCCTTTCACGATGGACTGATGACTGAGGAGGACAAAACAGACAGGGTAGGCCCGTGAGCCCTTGCAATGGCAAACAAATATTTCTCTTCATTCAAACAACCTAATGTTAAAGGAAAATAACTGTCCTGGGACTGCAGTGAAAAGATACCATGCGATACCTTAATGACCCCAGATATAAGGCAAACTGCAATGCAATCACACAGGATCAGACTTTTTTTTTCCTTTGTTCACCTGGCATTTCTGGACATGAATTGCACTATTTTCCATATTGCACCATTCAGATCTTTGTGTTTTCATCAGAGCTGAATTCTGTCTTGCCACATATTCCAAGAGCATTTCTTCTGTTTTCATTAAGCTACAGCATTTAACAATCTTCATACTATGCCATGTTTGCAGCCTGGCTCTTCCCAGAGCGAGCATGCTGAACTCTCGCAAGGTTTGTCCAACTCTCTACACGCTATGTTAGCAGTATCCCACACATTTCTGCTTGGCTCCTAGGAGTGTACAGTGTGGGACATGCTGAGAATGGCCATTTAACGTTGGCATTTGCAAATGAACAGCCTGAGCTCCAGTGACTTTCTAATCAAAACTTTGTGTGATTCATTCCACAGGTGGCTGCAAGGGTCATTTCAGTCTTGGAATAGCCATGCTTTATGAATTCCAGGATGTGAACTCCTAGTATGTTGCCCCTTTGGTACTTTCTTGTTTACACTCAATCTTTAAATTCAGTTTGCCTGCATGCGGCTCTATCCACTGGCTGTGTCCAGAAGATCGACTTCCGGCAAGGCACTGCTCCCGCCTGAAATGGTTCTTTCATTTTCACAAGTCTTGTGGCATTTGTTTAGCACTGGACATTGCTGCCCAGATTCCCTTAGCTACTGCTAGTGTCTAATTGCGGAGAGAAACGAGCAGACGAACACAGGGCTACATCTGAATAATCTCGCGGAGCAATAATAATCCAGAATGGGAATATTATTAACATCAAAATATAAGCCATGTGGTGACTTCCTCAGAGAGGAGCTTTAACCAATGGGAAGCAGGTGACCATGGAAGCCCCTCCCCTAACAACCCTCCAAACAGCTTTCCCAAAATAACAGTAAACAGAATTCCGAGAGGACAGAAATTGTCCAAAGCCAAAATCCCTGCATGAAACCCTTCTCGGACAACGCCTGAGCCCCCTACATATAGACACGCACACAGGCTTTGCTGAAACCCTTAAAAGCAAGCGCCACATTAAAAGTAATCAAATAATGTTAGTGAAATACTTCCAGTTTGGGTGAACTCATGATTAGTCTGAGTGAAAGGTCAGAAAAGCTGTGCCAGAATTCAAGCACCTTCTGTAAGGACCAGGGCTCAGCTCCCCTGGCCCTGACCACACTGTCTCACTTTAGCAAAATAGTTAAAAAGGAAAAACTGAAGGCTCATCACTAAAGATCCTAGCAGTGCTGATCCTGAGATGTCACTCACAGTTAAGCTCAGACTGTACACAATTCCTGGCAAACTGCAGCTCCCCATGAACGCTAGAGAAAGGAATCACCCTTACATATATTCATCCATTTCCTTTAAAAGCATCGTGGAAATCTTTACTGTAGCCACTGTGACACTTCCAGTAAAACCCAGGACCAAAACAGTATGACGACAGCGCAACCAGACACCAAGCCACGGCCACTCCAGCCCCTTCTTGAGAGTGTCTCTCGAAACGCAGGTTCGCAGAGATGACAGGAACTTTGAAGTCTCATTCCCCTGGACAATGAGCGCATTGAGTCGGATTGAAATGATGATTCACCCACCCGTCACCTGTGAGGGATTGGGTTTCATCACTCCGGCTGCATCTCCCAGCAAACTAATCATGGAACTAAAGGTCTCACTGCAGTTGGCAGTGCTTCATCATTGCCCGGCTTCATCAAACATGGCCACGTTCGGGGGCACTAAGTTACCGCTGGAAAAGACTTATTAGCCCAGGAATATCTTGCAGGGGGCTTTGTCTATTAATAGTCTGGCACTGCAAGGCTGTATTTGATGGAGACAGAGATGTATTGTACTAATACCAGCCAGATAACTTACCTCCCAGGCAATTGGTTTGGTTCGCCTGCTGCAGGGCTGGGCTGGATACAGCGGCATCTCGCATTGCCCGCTCTGCTCTGCAGCCCTCCTGGTACTGGGCAGAAAAACTCAGAGATGCTGAGTTTTAAACAAAATGGAGACTCCTATGAAAACTGCAGCAGAAATGTGCATGTGTATTATGTTACAAAGAGCACGAGAGAGAGAGGTAGCGATCTAGCGAACCGGTTGCCCTTGGACTCTGTGTTTGAGTGGGGACGGATGGACTGAGAACACTGGGTAGGGAGAATTTAGAAAGGGTTTGTGTGTATGCTGTGGCATTTTAATGACCATCTGAATTGATTCCCCGACCCAGTAACTTCTTGTTATGACAGATCAGGAGTGAATTTGGAGAGTAGTAAAGCAGAATTAAACACTGCATCACTCTGTCAGACCCCTAGTATAGGCAAGCTGTGTGAAGCCGAAAAGGGTTCTGGCCATGACTCCAGTGAGTTGAATTGGGGCAGCGCAGCCCCCAAACCGGGGCTCCTGATGCGGTAATGCAGGTAAAGTTCTTGTTGCCAGGGCTCGGCTGCTGTGCTGCTTGACAGAGGTAGTTAATAAAACCTGCCTGTTGGGCTGTGGAGCACAGGGGAGTCACTCCTCCAGGCCTGCTGTCTTGAGAGCCTTATGCTGACTGCCGGCATGCATGGCCAGGCCCTGTGTTCTCGCCAGAGGCTGCTGGGAGATGGAGAGCACCTGGCTAGGACGTAGTATGTGGCAGGTGGGGTATGGGTTAACGGGGGTTTTATGGGGTGACCCTGTCTAGCAATTGCAGCCGTAAGCATGACAGTTTGGGTCTGTGTTGGAGTTTGAGGAAAAGCCAGGCAGCCGATGCACAAGAGGGTACCATTAAAAACAGTCCAACAAGACTCAGACTGTGCCGGAGTAAAGGGGATGCTCTGCAGGGCAGCTTCATTGCATCTGCAATTCTTCTTCCTTTTCTTCTTCATTGGGCAACTTCTGTACAAAGACGAGACCTCCGCATTTCACCCCTGCTGCTCCACCACTTTACCTTGGGGCTAAAGCAGTGAGTCCCTACTAAGCAGACTCATGCCAGTGCTGGTCTGATTAAGCAGTTGTCATTGTTGTTCACTGCCGTTAGGCAGAACTGGCTTCCTGGGAGACATCTTTAATAAGAGGGCATCCCAATTACGGTGCTCACTGCTGACTCTGCAAAAGCTGCTAAACGCCTCCGTCCCCAATGAGACAATAGCTTATGGGTGCACATAATAACTACTGTTCATGCTCGGGGAGAGCACCACATCTTATAATGAGGGGTAGGGAGAAGGGCTATTTAAAAATAACCCAGGGGAGAACACACACAAGACTTTCTAGTGAGAGAAATGTTATAAACCAGAAAACAAGTAAGAGTGTGATCTGGTGCCAAATAGCTGCTCTACTCAGAGTCACAGTGTCTGTTTGCTTTGCTGAAATATTAGATTGAACGTGATCAGGGAGGAAGTGATACCTCATTGGGGCTCCATTCATGCTGCCAATAGAGCGAAAAATTGCCCTGTGCGCCTCGGTATTGCCTTGCCAGTGACTGTTCCTGAGCCTGGCTGCAGAGCTGGGCACAAGCGCCAGTCAGACATGCAGAATACAGGGGAATCCAGCCGTCTGTGGTATCGAAAACATGAAATAAAATTCTCCCAGAAATGCAGCTGCTGGGGGATACCTGGGCAGCTGATTGTAGGTATGGAGCCTGGAGTCCCTGAGTGACAGCTAGAGCCAAGGCTGTTGCATGTAGAGTGACCAGATGTCCCGATTTTATAGGGACAGTCCTGATTTTGGGTCTTTTTCTTATACAGGCTCATATTACCTCCCACCCCCGTCCTGATTTTTCACATTTGCTGTCTGGTCACCCTAGTTGCATGACTTCTGGATAACTTACCTGGGAGAGGTGTCGTGGTTGGAAAACCTGCCCCCCTCCCTCTGGAAGCAAAGGCATCAGCAGGGGCTCCTAGCCTATTCCCTCTGTCTGCTGCTCTGGAGCTGGACCATCTGTGCTTTAGTGAACCCCACTAGGTGTTCGCCTGCATCTTCAGGCACCTCAATACTTCGGGAACTCTAGCCCTAGCGATCTAAAGATGGGGGAGTCCCTGGTGAGCTCAGGCACCTGGTGCACAGGCAGTCTGAAGGGGGCTAATATTAAAGGCCTCTCTCTACCCCCAGCACAGCCTGGGTAGGGGGGGCAGTTCTGGCTTCCTTCCCAGAGTGCCTCACCCCTAGCATGCTGGTGCTATGGTGTGGCCCCACCCCCTTGTTTTCTACATACATCGTTGTGGGTAATGCCTGTGGTCTCTTTGCATTGGCACATTTGCTCCCAAGACTAGGACTGACTTGCCCTAATCTAACAGGGTTTGTATTTAGCCAATATGAGTGAGGAGTTTGCATGACAAACTGATTGGAGAGTGCTGTTTTTCTGCAGAAAAGAATGAATGTTTACTCCAGCTGATCTGTTTTAATTAAATAATTTTAAAATATATAATTTGATTTTTTTTAATATAACCTCTAACTTCATGCTAATGATATCTGAACAGCCCCTTCAAAGCGCCTGAGATGCACCCAACAAACAAAAGCCAGAGATGAACACTTAAAAATAACATTTGTTTGGTCTCACTTGGCTCTGAGCAACAGTTTCCTTGAACTGCTTTAAGTAGCAACGTCTACCAGTATATGAGTTTTATTCCAGAAATATATCCACGCAGTGACTGGTACGTCGATATTTTCCTTTGCTGTTTATGCTTTTGTTGTTTTTTTGGGGGCAAGTTTTGGAGAGTTTAGGTTTTGATGTTAAATCTTGGATAATTTGCCGATGTTAATACCAAACCCAGTTCCAAGCTAAACCGTTGTCTGAAGCAACTTCTGCACAATAACTGTGCCATCTCAAACCTAGCATGAACAGCTTTGAGCAGATGAAACTGGAAGAGATGGAGTCTCTCTCTGCATGTAGTTGTCTACTAAAGACAACTACATGCTGAGAGTGGGGAGGAAGAGAGCAAACTTCTAGGTCATGGCGACAGAACAGTCCCTAACCACAACTGTTTCCAAAGATTTCCAGGAAGGGCCAGCACCTCTTTAAGCTACACAATTTTGTCTAACAGTTAAAAAATCCCAGTACAGTTTCTTGAGTGGTATTTTCTATTTTTAAATTTAAAAATAAACCCCTACGAGTGAAACAAACCTATCCGGTGTCACCCAGCCCTCTTCCCCCAGAGCTCAGACTGTAGGTGCCAGGAGTTATTTTTTGGCTAGGGAAATCCACCTGCCTAGGGGCTCAATCCTGCTAGGTGCTGAGCATTGACTCCAGTGGGGCTATTCAGAAACTACAGTTACTCCCATGCTTAAGTGCTTTGCTGGATAGGGGCCAGAAAGCTCAGCCCCTTGCCAGATCAGGCCGTAGGGCTGCAGTGATCCTGCTTCTCCTCAGGGTGATCACTTGTAAAGTGTAGAGTGGGAAACCCTCACTGCGCTTCTCCCATTGCTGGCCTGCCCTGGCAGGGGAGTGAGCTCTCCTGAATTCTTGTGGAGCTATAAGTAGAACTTGGTGTTCTGCAGCTGTTCCCATCTGAAACCATTGTGATTAGAACCTCGTATTTCATAGGCACAAAGGCAGCTTGACAACGAAGCACTCAAATGCTGTGGTGACAGGCCATGTATAAGAGCAGAGCTAGACACAGCTTCTCCAGCTTTCCTGGGGCTTTACCACCAGGCATCCTGATCCCCACTGGGCATGTGTATTTTACATCATCAAGTCTGAGATCGAGGGGAAAAAATTCAAAAGTGCCTAAGTGACTTGAAGCCTAAATCTCAGTGCAAGTCAATGGGGCTCAGGCTCCTAAGTAACTAAGGTGCTTTTGAAAACGTTACCCTCACCCGTGAGAGGAAGGCTGGCTCAGTACTTGGAACTCAGGAGACCTGGGAGCAATTCCCTGCTCTGCCACAGTCTTACTTTGTGACCCTGGACAAGTCACTTAGACTTTCTGTGCCTCAGTTCCCATCTGTACAATGGGGGTAATAGCCCTGCCCTGCCTCCTAGGGCTGCTGTGAGGATAACAACGTTCGGGACTGCAAGGTGCCCAGATACACTGTTGATGGGGCCTGCTCGGTACCTGGAGCTTTATTTTAATTCATCTCACAGAAATGTGATTGTTTTTAACTGCTTATAATGAAAAACAAGAGCTGTGACTAGAGAACATTGTTTTTCAGGCTGTGGACTAGGCAGACAGGTATTGCTGGAAGTCTTTCCCATGCCGATTTAAACCAAACACAAAAAAAGAGACTCATGGGATTTATTTTAATCTTTGTAATTTGTGTTCATCTAAAAAGAACAGGCATAAATGAGCAGCTCACTGGATGCTCATCAAATCTCCGTTTCCCCTAAGGACAAACTCTACAGAGTGATCTGTATACATTAAAGGTGAAATCTAATAAGGTACAACGTTAACCTCCTCCAGTCCTTGGTTGATAGTTCTAACTACACATTCCGGAACACAGCTCGGATTCAGTTCTGCCTCTACCAGCCCTCAAATGTCTTTGGCAACTACAGTCAGGCTGATACACATCATCCTATTTACTAGAATAAATGACAATCATCTGCCCTGCTAGTCTCATTCCTTTTTTGGAATACAAAGTCCTGCACAGTGTTGTCAATTCATGCCTGTAAAGTGAAAGCAGATTCCCTGATCCTTAGAGTGTACTACCGAAAAGCAGAGGTGTATTGTAGCATTCCAAGTCCAATGGTAAAATTTCCACCATGTCTGCTATCATCAGTAATGTGTTCTTGAGAATCCGAGGCACTCAAGTTTCATGTAGATGAACTTGGTTTGTTTAGAATGTAATGCACCCCAAATTATAAGTGGATGTTATTGTTACTAATACAGTGATAGAAATGACCTTCAAACAGGACTGTCCACATCAGAGCGGAAAGCACTAACTCTCCCCATTTTTACAGTATTGTTTAATAACCAGGAAAGCACTGCATCATTCACAGATAAGAGTTGATAAAAGTATCTGTATGTACAGTGATAGGAACCTATAGAAGAACCCAGAGAGACAATACGTAAATAATTCCTGGCTTCACTTACATTAAAAGGAATGAAAACAAATACAATGCAACTGAAGATGTACAATATGGTCCAGAAAAACCCAAGACATATTCTGTAGCATATCGTATATATCCGTACAACCACAATTCTCAGAAACACACAGTTCAGCACATTAATATTGTATTAAATTGTTAAATGCCATTTCTTTTTGTTCCAGCTACAAAAGACATTTTGATTCAGGGCAGGATTTGGCCCGAAATGGCTTGTAAGGGGAGGGGGAGAAAAGGAGGTTACATTTGGTTACCTCCATCTAATCCTCTGAAGGGGCGTTGCTGGCCTGGCTGAATTTGGCCGTTAGTGAGCACACTAACAATTCTTGTTCCGAAGTCAGTGGGCCTAGAGCCCCACACAGAGTGCTTGCTTACCAGTAGCGGTGCTGAGCCTCACGGCAGCTTACAGCGAGACTGAAGAGCTAAAAGGGCAAGTGCTGGTCCTGTGCTCGAGAAAGTCTCACTGCTGCCTCACTTCTCGAGAGCTTGCCAAAGAGTAGAGATGCTTCTGTGTCACACCTTGCGTCTGTTATGTATTAATCACCTTAATCCAAGGCCCACTGTAGTCCATGGAAGACTCCACTTGGCCTCCATTGTCTTTGGTTCAGATTCTAACTCATCACAGAGGCCGTCTAGGCACAAGTTAGCACCAAAATAATGACACTGGTTTAATTCTCGTTATATCAGTGCAAGCTTGTGTGTGGCCACTCTTATTGTGGAGTACGAGTGTCTCTATTTGGCATAGATTGTCAGTAAAGAATCAATTTAAATTAAATCTAAATAAGACCCTTTCATTCCACAATCAGTATCTACACCCAGACTGGCACTGAAATAACAAAAGGTGTGAATGAAAACCAGTTAGGCTATTTCAGGGCTGGTTCATGTGTAGCCCAGCCCCCATCCTTACCCATGCTACCACAAAAGGCATCAGCTTGAGGTCTGGCCCAACTCTCATGAGTGAATAACTCCCATTCACCCTTCCACACTGCAACAAATTCAAATATATCTAACTTAGACACATCTTCATTTCAGATGTGTTCCCTGCTACCATGCCAGGTTTTGAGCACACTACCAATATACATAAGCCACTTTCAATAACATGTCTCAGCAGAGCACCGAGCAGGCCGTCAGCCCAGCGAGCGTCAGAGAAGAAATGCCACTGTTTCTCCTTAGGCCTAGCTTTCAGACCTGGGTGCCTAACGCTGCCCGTGGCTAGCTGCATTGGGTATTTGCTGATGGGCAGAGCTGGACCCTCCAGCTCAGACATCCATGTGTGAAATGCGTGCTCTGCACCTGTGTGTCTGTGGCGCTCTACTGCAGAGCATGGGCACCTGGCCAGGCCTGGGATAGCTTTCACGGGTAAGTCACCATCTTTCTGTGTTATGGGTAGGCACTGCTTAGAAGTTCTTACCCACAAAGAGGGCAGGTGAGGCGGCTGTCTATCGCCCGGCCTCGCAGGCAGCTGGCACAGAAGTTGTGGTAACAGTCCAGGAGGCAGGGATGCTCATACTGCTCGTGACACAGGAAACATACCAGGGGGTGGCAGTTGGCATTATCCAGGTCGCAGAGGTTTTCCAAAGGAGAGAAAATCCCACCGGACATCTGGAGGAAGATGACACAGAAAGGCGGATATTACAGGTATGCAGAGGGATTCGACATCTCATTCAGGAGATGGTGCGTGGGGCACAGTTAAAAAGGAGCTATTCCGGTGAGTCTCAATAGAGGAGCCTCACTTTGGAGGGTGCCACATGCTAGACAGATCAAAAGTCTGCTGGCCATTGATAGCATCTGAGGGACAGGGCAGCTGCATGATCTGACGGCCACCGATTGCATGCAAGGGGTAGGACAGCTGCAGGAAGAAGTGTCAGGGACGGCGTGGTGGTCACGGACATAATTTGGCCACAGCTCTGTTTTTTGCTGGTGTAAAGGACAGTTCTGGTTACTTGACCCAAGTTGCTCCTCTCTCACTGGGCCTAGGGCTGGGGTGACCCGATCACGTGCATTTGGGCAGGGCCGCGCCTCCTGACTGCAAGCGACTGATTAATTTGCCATGAAGTTAGAACTGGCAAGACTGCCGGATAGCGCCCCCTGCTGCCCCCAAGACCTCTCAAACGCACCCTGCTGGCTGGTGCAGGAGTTCCCGCGGGGAGCTATGTCCAGCCTTCCGCAGGTGCCAAGGATGTGCTGGCCCCGCTAAGGGCCTCTGAGAAAGGAGAAAAGAGGGGGAGACTGGTTCCTCCCAGGAACCAATACAGTCTGAGTAAAATCTCTAATCTTCCCTACCATCAGCTCCACGGTATCTTCTCTCTGCTTCTCATACCCCTTCCCCGCCCATCTTCCTACCTCTCCTCCCATATGTAGCTCTGCATTTTCTTTCACTCTGCTTTTGTGCCTGAAACAGCCTTCTATTTTCCATGCACCAAGTACTCTCCCTCTCTGTCCCCAGATCTCTCCTTCCAATCCTCACTTCCCAAAACCGCCCTGCTATCTCCTTCTGCCTTCTCATGCTCTATGAATCACTTCGCTCTGAGAGCCCACTGTAAGCTCTCGGGGGCAGAGACCCAGTCCTTCTATTGTGTATATTTGTAAAGTCTAGTGCTCTCTCTTTTTATTGTTTAAAGAGTCCTGCACTATTATTGCAGGGCACAGTTGCAATAGCAGTGAGCTGTTGCTGAATGCCACCACTTCCTTGAGCATTTAAGAGTTAAACTACATCGTGACCAGAAATAGCGCACAGAGTCAAAGAATAGGTGGCACATTTGACTCACAGGACTGATTTCATGCCAGGCTGTCTGCAGCCCAATGAGCACACTGGGCTTTGTAAGAACAAATGGAAATTATGAACATTGTGTCTCAATAACAATACTAAAGTTCAGAGTCAGAAACCACAGAGAGTTTGAAAATCATTTCTGAATTGTCCCCATTTCAGGGGGTTCCAGAATGTGTAGGGGGGAACTTTTAGATTTTTTTTTTTAGTATAAAAGTTGTGTTGGAAGAGAAACCTGCACATTTACAGGATCTAGTATAGAGCAGTAACAAGTAAACTAGCATTCTGTCTGGGCTTTGCATATTACACAAACAGCCAGAGAGTAAAAATGACACAGCCTATGTTGTTTGGTGCTGACAAAACAAACTGTGTATAAAGTGGGGGGATGGAAGGTTTCTAAATATGCCTGTTTTCTTATACCATTCTAATCTGAGTGATATTTTATTAAAAACCACTGTACTGTCTACAGCAAAGCAAGGTGGTGTGGGTATAAGAGAAAAAATTCAACTTTTCAAACAGATCAGATGTGGTTTAAATCCTTTACTCCTTACAGTGAGTGACCACATTTAAGAAGAGGACTGTTTGTGGTTAATTCATTTTGCTATTATGCTATGCCAGTGAAAACACTCCAGTAAAAATATGAGAAACAAGAAGGGATTTTCTTTAACCTGTTGATCAAATCCATCTATTTTCAGTCTGTCAATTTAATGGTGATGCCATTCAAATAAATTCTTTTGAAATAGACCAGCAATTACCTATTAAGTCCTTATACTAGCAAGCCACAGAGAGCAAAGCTACAGGTTCTGAAAGTTATTACAGAGCTCAGAATTCAAAACAGTGTTTCAGATGTGGATACATGTGTGTTAACAAGGTGGGCTATCTCTCTCTGGGGTCTGCCAGTACCTCTGGTTTTAATAAGTGAAATTACTTTGTAAGCAAATACTACCTGTGCATTTTAAGGAAATGCTAACAGTATATCTTTTTGTTATGATCACTTTATTGTAGTTAGACACAGCAGTAGTATCAAAGTTTCTTACCTTTTCTTCCGAAGTTACCAGCGTTGTATCCACGTTGTCCTGTTAGTAGATAAAATTTCAGTCCCCTTGCTCTGCCTGTCTCCTGCTTTTCATGCGTTTGAAGCTGGAATGACAGAAATGCTGAGGCTTTCAGCACAGCCAGAATATTATGAGTGACGTGAATGCAGTAGCCATGGCAACATTGCCAATAAGGAAGAGCTGCTGGGTTCAGAATAAGTTGTTTCTGCAGACATAACAGAGAGCACAATGAAATGGTTTTTTTAAAAAATCCCAAGTCTGTCATTTGCTGACAGCCTGGTGTGAAGGGGACTGTCTCATATGCCCATGTTCTCCCTCAGGGGCTAAGATGCATAACAGAGGGGTTAGGATTTGCTAAGCCTAAGTAAAAGGGGAAAAATTCAATGCATTTAATTCACTCTTGACTCTTCCAGAGGGAAAAGGAGGAATCTCCTACCTGTGGTAGGCAGTTTTCTCCAGACTGAGTTATCTCTATGTTGTGTGCAATTCCCAGGGAAAGGCACCTCTAAAAGTTGCCTAGGGTGTAAATTTAAACCCAGTACAACAAACAGCCATGTGAATGCATGATTAATGTTTCCTTTATATCCCTGTCCTGTCCATCTTGCCGCTTCCATCTCATCAACAAGCTTCAAGGTTCACCCAAGGTCAGACCTAGTGGACAATCCATGTGATGGAAAAAGATCAGCCTCTCCTTGTAAGGGATCAGCCCACCCCATTGTTCTCAGTCGTTTGGGATTATGAAGCCCAGTGGCATATTGAAAGTGACAGAGCAGCACAGCTCAGCAGGTCACTTCATAGTCACACACAGGAACACACTTCATGCTTGAGGGTTTTGCACAGACACTGTCCCAGTGATGGCTCTACAATAAGTGAGGCGAGGTCAGGATCACGTTCACATATTATCACTTTGCAGAAGATCCCATTGCTCAATAGTCCGTCAGTCTGAGCTTCCTGCAGGCCCTTTGAGCTGTGTGTGCTCAAATGTTTTCAGAGACAGTGTAAAACTCAGGGCCCCAACGCCTTCAATGCTGCAGTGAATTACAGCAGAATTCCTCAGAAGCAACTACCGGTATGTTTCCATCCAAAAGACACAGCTAAAACACAGGGCAGCCTCTGATACCTGTGTTGACTTAGCTGATCTGAAATTCCTCCAAACATTCAACTGAATCAGTTTTTCTTCACTTTCTCTCATGAGATCTGTCTAGTTACTGGTGCACAATGGCTATGAGTATTCAACCCCAGAGGTAGCTGCATCCCAGCAGTGAGGGAAACTATCCTTATTCATATACGACGTCAGCAGAGTGCTGACAGATGCTTGTGCGCTCTGGTGCTATGGAGATGTAAGGAGTCATTGCCGCCATTAATGAGAATAGTAACAAATATGTGATAGCATCCAAATGAGTGAGAGGAGTCTTCAAATTAAAAACTCTTCTGTCACAATTAGCAAGTGGAGAATGGCTGATTCAGGTCATTAGGAATGGAAGTTGGACCAATAGTGCCAAATTCATATCCAGGCCAAGCTGATATTGACCAAATAGCTGATAGCCAGTTGGTAGCTGGTGAGTTTCAGCCAACTTCCTGGGGGAAAACTGTCCACCTCACCTACTGCACTGTAATTGCCTCTTGTCAACAGTCTGATCAGAGGCCCCGCATCTCCTGGTGCCTCTCCAACTAAGGGTTGGGCAGTAAGATGCATTGTCAAGAGGCAGCTTGGCGGAAGCTTGCACTGCTGCTGTCTGGCCTCTGTAGCTAGCCTGGCAACTTCAGTCTTCCGAGCTGTCCGGCTGGTGCTTTATGTGGGTTTAAAATAGGGCAAGTGTGAGGAGAATTTAACCATCCCCACATCCCCACCTTGAAGCATGTGTGCCAAGGGGTAACTCTTCTCTCTGCCCACTAGTGCCTCTGATTGTGGAACACTTGTTGCTGGCAATGCCACCCTTCATAACTGCTTTCTCGCTCCTTCTGCAGCTTACTGTTGGAGCAGCACCATCTCGTGGCTTTTGTGAAATGATGCACGGGATCTGGATGCCACGGTGTATTCATTTACAACCATGCTTTTGTGATGTTTGCCTTTCTAATTCCATGTTGTTTATTACCTCAGAGATCACTTCATGTACCCACCCTTTTAAAGACCACATCTTTAGAGTAGGGATTTTCTCATGGCAGAATCAAGGCAGTGGAGTTCCTGTGTTTTGAAGAGTTAAAACTGAGGTCAGATCCTGATCAATTCAGAGCTTTTCTTCAGAGTGTTGTTATACATTTTGTATCGTGGTAGTGCTGAGAATCCCCAGTGAAAGATCCATAAGAATATAACAGCCATACTGGGTCAGACCAAAGGCCCATCTAGCCCAGTATTCTGTCTTCTGACAATGGCCAACGCCAGGTGCTTCAGAGGGAGTGAACAGAACAGGTGATCATCAAGTGATCCATCCTGTTGCCCATTCCCAGACTCTGGCACACAGGCTAGGGACACCATCGCTCCCCATCCTGGCTAATAGCCATTGATGGACCTATCCTCCATGAACTTATTTAGTTCTTTTTTGAACCTTGTTATAGTCTTGGCCTTCACAACATCCTCTGGCAAGGAGTTCCACAGGTTGACTGTGTGTTGTGTGAAAAAATACTTCCTTTTGTTTTAAACCTGATGCCTATTAAATTCATTTGGTGACCCCTAGTTTGTGTGTTATGAGGAGGAGTAAATAACACTTCCTTATTTACTTTCTCCAGGATCAGGGCTTTGTTGAGCTATGCATTCCACATACATATGAATTGGGGGTAGAGGTTTCAGCTCCAGTGCCCAGGCTAACTTCTGTCCTAGACCATTGTGCAGTGTCACTATGAGCTGTTAAACAGTTGCCACGTTCCATCCCAGAACAGGCTGCATTTCAGCACAGGAAGAAGTGATTTGTATGTGTATGCTATGGTGAGATCTGAAATCACTGTGAAGAAAGGTGGCTTTTATTATTATTATTAACACAAGCTGCTGTGAAGTGAGTCCTACATGAGAGTCTGCCTTGGGGCCATGGTGCCGAGGGGACAGAAAGCTGTACGCACTGTTGCTTCTCTGGTTTGATTTCCCTCTCTACTGCCTGTTCCCTGGGAATGGTGCCAGCGCCTTCGCTCCCCACCAAGGGAAAGCTCAGCAGTGACACAGATCTCAGTGCCCCCAGGGTCAAAGCCTACCCTCTCCCTCAGTCCTGCGCCTTCCCCATGGCACAGACCACCCCCCCCGGCCCCTGCTCCCTGCCCTGACCTTCATCTCCCCCCCCCAGGCCCCTGCTCCCTGCCCTGACTACCCCCCCGCCAGCCAGACCCCTGCTCCCTGCCCAGACCCCTCCCACCCCCGCCAGCCAGGCCCCTGCTCCCTGCCCTGACCCCCTCCCGCCAGCCAGGCCCCTGCTCCCTGCCCAGACCCCTGCACAGGTAGCGCTAATCGATCCCAGAGATGCGGATGGCTAAGGGGTGTCTTATGGAGGGAAATCTATTCGCTCAGTACTTGGCTAGCATGACCTGCGCTCTGCGTGCTTGGGGAGGGGAGGGTGGTTGGCACATGCGCGTTTGCGCGAGATGGACGCGGGGGTGTCGTCGGCACATGCGCGAGATGCACACGGGTGATTTGGCGCATGCGCGTCGCGCCGCCCTCCCTTTCTGCTTCTCTCGCTGCAGCCGCCATGGCGCCTGTGGTGAGTGTCCAACCACGCCGGGCCCGGGCCGGCCTCCCCGCGAGCTCCCCGCCCCGGCCCGACCCCCGCGGGCTCCGGCCCCTGGCCGCTCGGCTGCCCTGGCTCGGGGGTGGCCGGGGAGCCGGCCGGGCGCGCGCCGCGGGGCGGGTGCCGGGGGAGGCCGCAAACCCGGCTCCTCGCATCGCTTCCTGAGGGCCCGGGCGCCCCGGCCGCGGGGCCTTCACCCGCCGCGCCGGGGGCCTGTTTCCTGCTGCGGCCTGGCCGGCCTTGGAGCCCCCCGTTCCCTGCAGCCGCCTAGGGCGCCAGCCCCCCGCCCCCGCGGCCCTGGGGTCTGGTCCCTGGCGGCCCCCGCCTCGGTTCTTCTGGGACTTTCCCTCGTCCCCCGATTCACGGCCGCATGGAGGCGCCGCTCTGGCTCCCGAGGCTGGGGTGGGTTGAGTGCCTGGAAGAGCCGGGTGAAGGGTGACCAGACAGCGAGTGTGAGGAATCGGGATGGGGTTGGGGGGGCAGGAGCCTATATAAGAAAAAAGACCCAAAAATCAGGACTGTCCCTATAAAATCGGGACATCTGGTCACCTTAGCCGGATGCTGCGCGGTCCTGTCATAACCTGGCTCAGTGGCCCTGAGAAACTTGATCGGGGACACGGTGCAGTCCTGTCAGGGGGTGTCATCCACGTTGTAACTAGGGCTTGGCACTGTTGTGAATGAGCTCTACCCTTTTTTCTTACTCACTGATATCAAGACACACCCTTACACCTAATGCCAAAGCTTAAGGTTAAGTTTAGAATATGTAACCTGTGTAACTTTATTTCTTTTTAACTTTACAGAAGAAGCCTGCGACGAAAGGTGGCAAAAAAAAGAAGCAGGTCCTAAAGTTTACTTTGGACTGCACCCATCCTGTTGAAGATGGAATCATGGATGCAGCCAACTTCGTAAGTTTTAAATGCTCTAGGCCATCAGTGTTTCTTTAACTATAATGGAGTTTGCCACTAGGAGGTCCAGCAAAGGAATCATTTGGCAGCTATATGAAATGATTATGAAAATATATTTACTATAGCAAAAATCCACTGACTCGTTCTCTCCCGTGCATCACTCTCTAGGATATTCTCCTATCCCCAAAGGTGTACATTAGTGTTGCTGGCCTGCTTGGTCTTAGCCACTGCTAACTATGAATTTCTATTTCCTGAGCCTGTTTCCCATCCTGTTGGGAACTTTCCTTTTCTCTTTCCAGTTGTCTCCTCCCCATTAAGCTGCAGTTAGTGGCAACGGTGTCACCACTTTTAAAGCCTTACCTATGCTAGGTTTGGCAAAAAGTTTCTTGCAATGCAGTGGTGGGAAACCTTGTGTAGCAAAGGCTCTTATAGCAACTAGTGATTTTACCATTATGTTCTACAGATCTGCTTTGAGCAGGGTTGCACTGTATGGTGTTCAAAGGCAGGTGGCTACAGAAGCTTATCTACAGCAGGGTTCCTACTGTGACTATTACCAGCAGAGAAGCAATGTTGGGGTTTATCTAAAAATCTTACTGTAGAGGAGATGTTGTTAAAAGGGTGGGCACTGGTTAGTGCTTGGCATTGAGAATTGGTAAATTTGAATTCACTCACCTTGGGCTGGCAGCTAAGTGGAACTTTGCAAAGTTAATGCACGATTCTTATGAAAGGAACCATATTTGCTTCTAGCACCTTTCAGATCCTGGCTGCTCTTCTGGGATAGTGAGTAAACCCTTTCCATGCTGGATCTAAATCACACTAATTGTGTGTTCCCTGGGTAGCATAGTCCAAGCCTGATTGTATGACAAAACCTTTTGTTAGACTAGTATTTTATGGCAAAACTTTCAGAAGTTCCGTAGGCACTTAGATTCCCATATTTCATTGACTTTCAGTGGTGTTTAGGCTCCCAAGCATGTAAGTCATTTTGATGCTTCTGAAAATTTTAGATAGTCTCTTAGGCTTTGTCTTGACTGAAAAATTGTCATGTTTTTGCCACAGGGCCAGCTAAATCAAGCTACAAGGTGTTGCCCTACATGTACACTAGGGGGAAAAGGTTGAGCTTCATTTATGTCTTAGATTGACCTACATTTGACCATTTTATCTAGTCAAGATGATGTCTAATAGTGTCTGTATTAGCAGTCCTGTCACATTTGACATTGGAAGCCATATACACACATTTCGTTCAATCTTGACTGAAGGGAAACTATTAGTATTTTGCTGATATGGTTATGGCCAAACAATAACTGATGCATGAAGTGTGAGACTCCAGTTAAATATGACAGGATTTCTTGTGATTCTACATGCAGGGTCCATATTTGTTCCAGTTTGCACCCGCTGTAATAACTTAAGTCAGTGATGATAGATGAGGACATGAATGATGTGAAGTCAGTGCAGAATTTGACCCTAAGTGAGAGGACTATTGTGGTGACATTAATTGCATAAATTGTCTGGTTCTCTTGAAGTGGTTTACTGTGTCCACACAACAGGCAAGTCCATGCATAGCACAATGTACACCTTTGGTTGCACCAGTGTTTTCTGGGGCATGTGACTCACTTATCCCATAATACTGGGAACAAGGGCTTTAGGCTTACTTTCAGATGTGAGGCAAACATTGTGTAATGAATTTAGGACAACTGAACCTTTATGCAGCTGGGAGGACAGTGCTTTGGGGGCTTCACCTGGTCAGGACTAAAGACTTTCTCCCAGATATTACAACCAACCATTGCAACTTTCTGTAAAAAGCATAGACTCTATGCAGAAGTTGCAAGTTTGGGCTGTTCGTTGCAATGGTTTTGCCTACTGTAAATTTGTAGAATAGTTTTAGCACTGTTGGGTTGCTATACTTAGCCAGGGAAACCATGTTCAAACAGTGCTAGCATCCTTCTGAGATTTAAAAAAAACCCCAAGTTTTAAAGTGGATTTATTTAATATAAATTCTTTGTAGTGATGATCGGGATCTCTCTTGGATAGATGTTCTGCACTGCAAATTTAAGTCACGTAAGACTGTGTCTAAATTAAAGCTTATGTTCGCAGAATTTATATTGCTCAGGGGTGTAAATAAACCTCCCCCCCAGCGACATAAATGACACCGACATAGCGCTGTCCACACTGGCGCTTACGTCGTTGGGAGAGCTTCTCCCATTGACAGAGCTTCTGCCACATGTTGAGGTCATTTTATTATGCTGACAGGAGAGCTCTTTCCTGTCGGCATAGTGTCTTCACCAGAGGTGCTTCAGTGCTGGCACTGCCGTGCTGTATGTGTAGACATGCCCTATGTTATGCTGACGTACAGCCACTGCAATAATTGAATTGGTTTTACACGTTCACACTATGCTCCTTGTGTTGGCGGTGCACATCCTCACCAGGAGCGCTTGCACCAATTTAACTGCCAGCCTGGGGCATTGTGGGACAATTTCTGAAAGGCAGCAACAGTTGATGTATGCAACGCAGTGTCTACACCAGTGGTTCTCAACCTGTGGCCCAGTCAGCACACAGTTGCGGCCCATGTGACATCCTCAGGGCCACACAGGTAGTATTGGATGCGGCCCACAATGGTAAATAGGTTGAGAACCGACACTGTGTTGACCTAACTACACCGGACCCTCGCTAGAACGCGGGATTTGGAATCCATGCGCGGTACCGCGTTAACGTGGGGACTGCATTAAAATGAATTGCAATTAAAGTAATTAAATTTGGGATCCATGGCCACAACCGCATTATATGCGAGTTCGCGCTATATAGACGCGCGTTCTAGCGAGGGTCCGGTGTACATTGACTTAAGTGCTATACCTCTTGCGGCGGTGGAGTTATTATGGGGGGAGGGATAGCTCAGTGGTTTGAGCATTGGCCTGCTAAACCCAATGTTGTGAGTTCAGTCCTTGAGGGCGCCACTTAGGGATCTGGGGCAAAATCAGTACTTGGTCCTGCTAGTGAAGGCAGGAGGCTGGACTCGATGACCTTTCGGGATCACTTCCAGTTCTATGAGATAGGTATATCTCCATATATTATATTATAAGTTGGTGTTGTGGGCAAGTTACATTGCTGGGAGCTACATTTTAGTGTATATGCTTACAGCAGGGGTTCTCAAACTGGGGGTTGGGACCCCTCAGGGGGATCATGAGGTTATTACATGGGGGGGTCGTGAGCTGTCAACCTCCACCCCAAACCCTGCTTGGCCTCCAGCAGTTGCTATGTGAAAGGGGTCACCAGTACAAAAGTTTGAGAACCACTGGCTTACGGAGTTAAGTCGATGTAAACTGCCGTACATTGACCTAACTCTGTAGTGTAGACCAGGCCCAACTCTTTACAGCAGAAGTTTCTGGCTACTGAATTACGTTGTGGCTTTTCAGCTGCGTGGAGTGCAGTTTGTAGTGTTGTGTTGGAATTTTCTTGAACTGAATGGTCTTCTTCCTTTGAATTACCTTCATATAAATAGTTGTGAAATGTCCTGCGTTCTGTGAGCTTGCTACAAATGCAGTCATTGATCCTAAGCCAACAAGTGGCTTTAGAAACTAGGCCATATAGTTCTGACTTTGATTAACTATATTTTCTATTGGTTCGCTAAATTAATGCCCTCTGATTGGGATCATTGTGGAAAAATACTAGAATTGTTTGTAACCCTGAAATTTCTTGGAAATACTGGGGACTTTTTCAATGGCCCTGCGTTTTTTTTTTAATGTAGTTCTGAATGTGTAGATATTTCTTATTCATGGCATATCTTCCAATGATTTCTATGGAACTTTATTTAAGACTTCAAATTTAACACTTTTTTATACTATACCCATTTCATAGATCAAAAACAAGATGATATGAGGTGGTGGAGGTGATTGGATGGAACAATGCATTTTGATTGCAACACAGTGCCTATTTAATTTATTTAAGTTCTTACCAGAAATGTAGGTGACGGTTGATTCATCTAGCTGATCTGATCATCACATTAGGATTATAATAGAATACTGAAGGTAATCAGACTTCAGATTTTTTATAACTTTGACATCCTGGTAAAATACTAGAGTTTCAAATTTATAATGTAGACACCTTCTATTTTCTTCCTGATCACTATTTTGCTATTGGTTGTGGAGCCTCCAACTGGATAAACTTTCAATAGAAGATGGCCACTGCTGTATTTTCTTTGCCTGCATAGTGGCATATGGGATTTCAAAGGCAAAAGGAAATGGGCTAGCTGAAATGTGTATGGGACACTTCAGTAGGATTCTTATATAATTACAATCTCTTAGTATGCTCTTTATCACTAAAAGTGAGATGTGAAGTTAGGAAAGTAAGTTTTATAAAGGTTGTCATTAAGTCGCCTCTTTATTGTGGTTTAAACCTTTGTAGGAACTTGAATCCTTATAACCTTATTTTTGTCAGCTATCCAGAAAGGTGAATGCCTAAGACTGGTGAATACGTCCAGGCATCAAAGGCCTGATGGATGTTGCTCACTATAACTGTGATTCTGCAATGATTTGTGCATGTGCTTAATTTTAGGTACCCGAGTAGTCCCATTTAGGCCAGTAGGACTAATAGTATTAATCTTTGTAGGATCAGGGCCGAAGTCTTTGGGAGGAATATAGTAATCATTTCCTTTCAACGTTTGATGTGTGAGGAAGACACTTTAACCAAAAGCCAGACAAGTTTTAAAGTAAATTGGGGGAAAATGCTCTTTTATCTTACGTTTTGGATGCTAGGAAGTTAGTGGAGACATTTTGCCCTTCAAGGCAGAGAGACTTTGACTATAACTCTGACTAACAAATCTTACCCTTATTTTGTAGGAGCAGTTCTTGCAGGAACGAATCAAAGTGAATGGAAAAGCCGGTAATCTGGGTGGAGGTGTGGTGACCATTGAGAGAAGCAAGAGCAAAATCACCGTAACTTCAGAGGTGCCATTTTCCAAGAGGTAAGGGAGAGGAGGCATTGTATATTTATTGGAATAATGTAAAGGGAATGTCTAGCTAAAGGGGTTAAGGAGTGGGATACAAAGCCTTTTCTCTCTGGAAGGCTAGTTCCAATCAATCTCAGGTTGGTAATGACAACAGCCATCAGATGGTAAATTTCAGTGGTGTTTATGATGTCACAAACCAGATTCTAATGTACCGATATTGATGCAACAAACATCAGTCACCATTGATGCTGTTTGGCCCCCTTTTGGCAGTCTCAGCTAAGGGTCTGTGGAGTTCGAACTTCCTGCCCTCTAGGTCAGCCTGGAGTTGTGTTAGCAAAGAGGCTAGGGAGAAGGTGTTTGTGGCTACTGTCTGTGCTGTACCTATTCTGTGCATAAGTGAATAGGCTTCAGTAGATTAGAGGATCTACTACAAGTGCAAATATCTCCAGTGACTGGATGGAGAGGGCTCCAGCAAATATCTGCACTGGATACTAGATGGAGAAGGCTCTGAGTTACTACAGAGAATTCTTTCCCAGGTGTCTGGCTGCTGGCTCTTGCCCATATGCTCAGGGTCTAACTGCCATATTTGGGATGGGAAGGAATTTTTCCTCAGGTCAGATTGGTAGAAACCCTGGTGGTTTTTTCCTTTCTCTGCAGCATAGGGCACAGGTCACTTACAGGTTTAAACTTGCAGTGTAATTGGTGGATTCTCTGTAACTTGAAATCTTTAAATTATGATTTGAGGATTTCAGTAACTCAGACAGAGGTTAGGGGTCTATTACAGGAGTGGGTGGGTGATGTTCTGTGGCCTGCAATGCGGAGGAGGTCAGATGTGAGATGATCATGATTGTCCCTTCTAACCCCCTATGAGGACTTCACAGTTCACGATTGTCATTCTGTATCTTTTGCTAAATTTACTGTAGGAAGACCATGGTTTGGTCTTTAAGAGTGACAATTTAAAAGACGCCGATGATGACAATTTGAACAGTTCTACCATTAGGACAGTTCTCTCACACTTTGTTTAGAACTCTTGAGTGTGTCACCAAGAGGCAGGTCACTTTCCTAATTGACAAATATCACATTCATAACAGTTTTCTTCTCTACTAATGCTTTCTTTTTTATGCCTAACTCCGACCCTCTGGGTCCTCAGAATCTCTGCCATTAAATACTAATATATTAGAAGATCTTACATCTCATTACTACAAGATGAAAACAAGTCAAGACAGGCCTGTCTTGGAGAGGATTTGGGAAATGGCTTTCAGCTCCACTGGTGAACTGCACATGTGGTTGGTTATGCACAGTGACTGTATTTCTGTTCCTAAACAAAAAGCTTCATTAGAGTTTTAGAGTGGAAGATGTTTCAGTGGAGGCCAGCTGATGCCTAATAAAAAACGTATTTTATTTTTACACAACAGTTTTACAACTTCCTAAAATATCTCAAAATAAGGCTAGAAATGAAAACAATTCAGATGATTCCCACTACTATATAATCTTCCATTTTCTGGTCATCCTACCGGACTTCAACCTCCCACCCAACCTTTATACTGTCCCTTAAAAATTATTTTTTAAAAAAGCAGGTAAAGGTCAAAACTAATTACTGGGAGACATACATTTTAATTATTCAGTGGAACGATTTCTTTTTTATTTAGGAAGTTAACAGGTTTACAAATCTTTGACATGTAATATCAGAGACAAAACAATAATTACATTATGCAGCAATGCAATCATCAGTTCTCTCTATTTAACATGGTGTTACCATTTTATAAAGTGAGCATTGTTACGCTACCCACAACATGTTTTTGGTAATTTTATTAAATTGATTGAAATCTCTGATTGCATTTATAACAAAGCAGGCATGTCTAAAAATACTCTCACTGGAACCATTTCTAATAATCTAATAGGCTCCTCTTCTGTCTCCTCAAATCCTGAATCAGTTATTATCCTTCTAGAATGTAACAGCAGCATTCCTGGAAGCAAAGGACTAACGTCAGGACCCAGCTGAACTTGGTTCCATTTAGCTGCTTGGATGTACAATCTTATTTTGACTTGTAAATTGTATAAAATAAGTGAGATTAAAAGTAGGACATACCTTTCAAATGACTTGTGTAGGTGCTGATATTTTAAACTTCATATGCAGTCTTCAGAAATTGGTGATTAACAATGACCAATTTACATTTATCATGATTAAATTTAGTATTTGGTACTAATATTTAAATGAAGACATATGCACATTCTGAAATAGAAATTGACACCTAATTTGTTTGGGGCTAATTTTCTAAATAGCTGATTAGGCTGCTGAGTAATTTTTTTGAATATTGACGTAGAAAATAAATTAAATGAAGTCCTTCCTTTTAAAGGATGGTCTAGTAATAACACAATATTCATAATTCAAAGACGTCTAAATTATGAAAAAAAACATCTTTGGGGGGAAATGTATACACTACCAATAAATCAAAAATACATTTACGTGTCTTATCTTCTGTCAGCAAAGTACTTAAAATCATTGACTCTTATCAGTTACACATCGTCCAGCGTATTTTTCATACAATAGTTGTCTCTTTGAGGCCTTACACTGAGCAGTCCCTGCCTACACCATTGACCTCATCTACTTTCTTGTTCCTTTTGTCCCCATTTGCCAACAAAGCTCGCCTTGATACCCTCCTGTTGTCATCTTTATGCCTTCTTCCATGCTGTCCCCTTATGCCTGGAACCCCCTTTCATCCGATTTGCCCAACCTCCACCCTTGTCTCAATCCGATCCTAAAGACTCATTTCTCTAGACCCACTTACAAGATATAAATGTTTTTACTCTTCCAAAATTAGCAAGGACTAGGCCGAGGGGAAGCTTGAGACTTAGTTCCATGTTTTTATATATAAAATGTGTGTTCACACATCACCTGATTATTTTGCATGTATGTTGCCTACCCTGTTGTGCTCTCCTTTTACTATTGTAAGGTCTTCGAGGCAGGGAGAGTCTCCTGCATGTCAGCACAGCAACTAGCACATTATGAGCACTACTGCAATAATGACTTAGTAAAGAATTGAAAAATGTCAGTTGGTCCATTTCCCTCAGAGGTTTTACACCACCTCTTGTTAAACTTTATTTGATAACACAGAAATTAAACATAGTCCTTTTTCCCCTTGTTATTTCTTGTCAGTGTGAACCACTTTGGCTTAGAGAGGAAGAGAACTGCTAGCCTTTCTGCATTGTGTGGCATACCTCTGTTACACAAGATTTATTCTGTCATCCATAGTGTCTCATTCCCAGAATCCTCTGGTTTTAATGTATGTTATTCTGCTGTCTTTACTTCAGTGATTCCAATGGGAGTTTTGCTTAAGTAAGGCCTATAGAAGTTGGCTCATGGTATCTAAGCTTGGCTGGAATGGATGGTTAAACATGCTTTCTTTTTGTATTTGGAGAGCATTCTTTGTCTTGTGGGTGCCCTCTTCTAAAAGATGTTTTGTGTTTAGGGCTGTGACATGGCGTAACTTGAGCATCCTCTCATAGGGAATTGCTTTATTTTCTCAGGCACTGTTGTGTGTAATACAAGCTGTAGTCACTTCTGCAGTAATATCATGCTTTTGGCTTGCCTTGCAGGAATGTAATTTCTCACACAGGTGACAATTCTTTTTCTTTTAAGAAAAATTGTTTTTAAAACTGCTTGTCAAAACATTAATGGAAGAGACAATTTGTCCTTTTAAGGTGAGTTAGTGGTAGGGTCCCACAGGGGAGTGTCTTCAGAAAAGACAATATTAAATGCTGCTATTAGGCAAATGTTACAGACCTGAAAATGCAAAAACACTTTCAACCTACACATTTTCTTTGTTTCTGAAAAAGTAAAATGGCACGTTACAATCTACATCATTACAGCCAATTTTCTTATAAAGTGTGAGAGGAAAATGTTAAGACAAACTCCTGTTTTTTGTTATCAGAGGTGAAAATGAAAGACACTATTAAATAATGCAAGGTAGGGAAATTCAATTAAATAGCATACAATTTCAAGAGCATGTAATGTAGAATGAGTAATCTTTATACAGTCTTCAGTTCAATTATTGGCTGCCTTCTTTCCACAGATATCTGAAGTACCTTACTAAGAAATATCTGAAGAAAAACAACTTGCGTGACTGGCTGCGTGTAGTTGCTAATAGCAAGGAAAGCTATGAATTGCGATACTTCCAGATTAACCAGGATGAAGAAGAGGAGGAAGAGGAGGATTAAATGCATGTGGATCTGGAAATATTTTGTACATTAAATTTCCTTCAATAAAACGTGGGGAAAAAATGTTAACTTTTCTGTGTTTTCCAAACTCTAGACATCGGGAGCTCTTCCAGTTGTTCAGATTACGTAGTGACCACTATAAAGCCTACTTCTTCATATCTATCTACTTCATAGATAAGGTTTACAGTTTGCATTATAAGGATAATGTTCAACTCCCACTATCCCAACTTTCAGAAATTTTCTCATTACTTTTAATTCAGAGAATTTGTTCAGAAAATCTGAGGTTCCTCATAAAGGGGATATTAAGTTTTCTCCTTTTATTGGAGAATGGAGAATAGAGATTTCCTCTTCATTATAGTAACGCTCCAAGTACAGCAATACTTAATGGTCTTTTTTCAGATGCTTTATAGCTTGATTAAAAAGTGTACGCTGAAATTTGGTAAGCGATCTGGAAAAGATCATCACTGGGATCAGGATTTATCCCAGGATCTGATACTTTTAAGGTAAGTAAAGCCTAGGCCTAATATTCTCTGGTGTTCATCTAACTCACTGGCCTTGCTTTATTTTAATAAAGTCCTTAGCTATGGCATAATTTTTTTAGTTATAGGGGTTGAGATTTTGCCACAGCTCCTCTTCATCTGAGTGGAGTTGTGTGGCTAAATACCCTACGTGGCTTTGAAAATTTTAGCCAGTAACTGCCTTTTATGTTGTCAGACTTAAAAACAAATTAAATATTGAGATGCATGACTTTAAACTTCTTTAAATATCTATTGACAAAGGAGCTGTAAAGTCCTTTCCCCCCCCTTCCAGGGTTGTAGTAGCAAAAGAGTGGTGGTGGAATCACTGGGGTTGATAGAGAAGGTAAATCTCACCCTACTTTGAGTAGTGTCCTTAATGCAGCCTCCGGAGAATATTTTACAACAATACATTAAATACCTATTGCAACCTAAATCTTAACTGCTCAAAGTATTCTGCCCTCAGCTGGAGTGGGGAGTTTCTCAGGCTGAGAGCACAGAGGGTGAAGGACTGACCGTATGAATGCATGGGGGTTCTTAAACGTCTGTAGGAAAGGGGTTTTCAAGCCAGTTTTGGCTCTGCTAGAATATTTCAGAGAATCTTGCCTGTACAGTTCCCTCACTTCAAATCGAGACTTGACTCTTGTGGTGTGGCATGGCTCATCTTCCTTTTTTTTTTTTTTCCTATTGCTGTAATTTAAATTAAAATTGTTACCTTGGAGTGGTATTGAGAGTTAGTCACTAAAGCTTTGTGAAGCTGAAGCATTAAACCATACAAAATGTTTTTCTTGTTTTTTCTCTTCCCTGCCCCCAGTTCTGTCTGAGTTGCCATTGTTCTGGTGGTACTGGGCTGGCCCTGTGTCCCTTTGGAGATGGACAGTGTTGCTGCTGAATCGATGGAAGTGCTGATGAGCAACATGAGCTCTGCTGGCCTAGGCCTGGAAGCTGACTCTATTGCATAGCAGCGTGCTTTCTAGAAGTAGGCCAGCCCCTACCAAATTCTTCAAGCAGCTGTGACTTAACAAATGCTTAGGGTCAAAGCCTGAGGGGAGTCTTGTATAAGGTGTCTTGGTGCTTTATTTCTAGTGCAATGACTTCAAGTCTGGGCTCTGTCCATATGACAACTTTGAAAAATTAAGTAGAGTTGTGGCAGGACTGGTTAAGCTTTTCAGCATGGTTCCTGCAGGTGTGGGTTTTCCAATCCATTGTAGAAAATGCTGCAGCCTGGAAACTTCACACACCTTGACAGGTAATGGACCTAAATATAGAACCATTAAAGTCTGTAGAATATTGGCATGTTACAATACAGATATTGCTGCACTTAGTGAGACATGACTAGCTGGTGAGTCGCAGCTAGAAGAAGCGGGTGTTTATACCTTTTATTGAACTGGCAAGTCTGAGGATGAACACCGGGGTTTGCCATCTGCTTTATGACTGCCCACAATTGAGAGTCATTGCTGAAGGGAGTTAATGACAAACGTATGTTCTTCTGTGTCAGCCTTGCTAAAGGTCGTTGCGCTTCTGTCATTAGTGCATATGCACTGAGAATTATCTATGCAGGTGAAGATAAGGAGGACTATCATACCCTTGATAATATCATCAGGTCAGTTCCATGTAATGACAGATTGATCATCCTGGATGATTACAATACTAGAGTTGGCCGGAACTATGCATTATGGGGCAATGTGATAGGTCATCACAGAGTTGCTAATGCGAGCTGCAACAGCTTGCTGCTACTTTACAAATGCACTGAGCACAACCTAGTCATCACCAGTAAGTTTTCAGCAGGCCAGTAAGTAAAAGACCCCTTTTCAGAACACTGGACATGATTACATTGTTCTATGGTGAAGAGATCTCCATGATGTTAAGCTCATTTGCATCATGATAGGTACCAACTCTTGGTCAGATCGTAGGCTTGTGAGAAGTCAAATATCTCTTCATGTTGCTGTCAAGCAACATAGACAGTGACTCAAGCCAGTGAAGAAAATAAATATTTCAAGCTTGGAAAACTGACTCTGAATTCCAGCAGAAGCACTTCCCTTAGCTACAGAAGACTCAGTGGCTGTTGAGACAGCCTGGAAACGTTTTTGGGATACGACACATAGCTGCTGAAGTTTTCACCTTCATTAAAGAGGAACCATCAAAATTGTTTTGATGAGAATGACCCTGAATATGTCGGCTCTTGAACTCATGCCATGCTATCCATTGAGCCTACATAGCAGATAAGGATTTGGCAGTTGAAGGCTGCATATTATTGAGCAAAACAGACCAAACTTTAGCAAATGAAAAACCCGTGGTGGGAAAAGAAGGTAGCAGAGTTACAACTGTCAGCAGACCGAAAAGGCCCCAACACTCCTTTTGCTGGTCTCTGTGCTATGTATGGCCCCTCTATGCACATTGAATGGCAATTGACTCTTAAGGGACAAAAAAGAAATATTTGCTCAATGAACAGAATGTTTGCTTCTTCACTGCCCTTCCAAAATCTCTAAGGAAACAATGAATGCTCTTCTACAATACCCATTAAAAGAAGAGCTTGCACTAGCTCCTACCTTATATGAGCCCATAACAGCAGTCAAGTAGATGTCACAAGGGAAAGCACTTGGATCAGATGCCACCCCAAGCAGAGATCTTGTAAGCAGGATGGCTACCCTATTGCAAGGCATTTTTCAGGGCTTTTCTGTATTATCTGGGAACAATAGTCAGTGCCACAGGATTACAAGGATGCCACTGTTAGTCACCTTTATAAACATAAGATTGATAGGAAAAACGGATAATCATTGTGCATTTCCCTACTTTCTGTTGCTGGAAAAATCCTTGCCTGGGTCATATTGAAAAGTTTTAACACTTGTTTTGTGGAAGCCATCTTTCCTGGCTTTCAGTTTGGATAGGGACACTGTAGATGTGATCTTTGCAGCTCATCAGCTCCAGGAAAAATGCCTGGAGCAAAATCGCCGCAGCCCTTCATCTGGTGGTGGTTGGCTTACCCAAGGCTTTTGATTATGTAAATTGCAAGGGACTTGAGGAAACTGTTTTTCATCTTTGGATGCCCTGCATAGTTTCTTGTGTCATATGATCCTTCTTCCTGGATGGGATGATGGCAAGAGTGGTGGAAAATGGCAAGATATCAAACTATTTTCTGGTCACTAATGGCAGCAAACAGCTTCCACGCTCTTTTCCATCCTTTTTTCAGTTATGTTCATGTTCATAACACTGACAGTATTTATTTAGTTCCCTACCAATGGGAAGTTGCAGATTCAACAATGTTTCTGTGCTTGCACAAAAGTGGCAGATGTACTTATTTAAGGAGCTTTTATTTGCTGATGACTATGCACTGGTTGCTCACTCTATTTGAGGACATTCTGTTTATAACTGATCACTTTGCTTGTGCAGTTAATTGCTATGGTTTCACAACTAGCCTGAAGAAAATTGAAGTACCAACCTGTGCCAGGGGATGAGCACATCCACCCAGTTATTCAAATCCGCAATGCTCCTCTCAAGTCCATGGAGAAGTTGTTACCTAGAGTGTGCTGTCACAGAAGGTGAGATTACCCATTGCATAGCCAAGATTAGCTCTGCATTTGGAATGTTGTGTCACTGCCAGTGGAATGATAGGGAGAAGCATCAAAACAAGCACTAAGCTAAATGTCTGTTGGTCAGTTGTGCTAACAACACTTCTATATGGTTGTGAGATGTGGACAACATATTGCCGCCATATCAGGAGACTTGTCAGTTCCATATGTGCGGTTTTCAATCCATTTGCAAGGGCAAATGGCAGGACAAAATGCCTAATACTGAAATCCTTAATCATTGTCAGATGTCCAGGTTCAAAGCAAGCTCATAATAGCTCAGTTGTGTTGGTCTGGCCACCTTCTTATGGTAGACTTGAGAATACCCAAGGCCATGTTTTCTTGTCAGTTAAAAAAAGGCACCTGCTCTCATGGTGGTCAGTACAAAGGGTATGAAGATACAGGGACATCAAACTCGAAAGCCTGTCAGGTCAATTTCAGGAAGTCGGAAGCAACAGCCCACAACAGGGTGACAGCAGATTTGTCATGTTGCCATTAACCACTTCGAAGCAAGATGCATCAACACCTGCTGTGAAAAACGTGAACAGCACAAAGCAAGGATACAATTAGAATTAATGGAGATATCCCATCTCCTAGAACTGGAAGGGACCTTAAAAGGTCATAGAGTCCAGCCCCCTGCCTTCACGAGCAGGACCAAGTACTGATTTTGCCCCAGATCTCTAAGTGGCCCCCTCAAGGATTGAACTCACAACCCTGGGTTTAGCAGGCCAACGCTCAAACCACTGAGCTATCCTATAGGATCAATAACTTGCAGTGGCCATGGACAATTTTGTCTGTCCCATGTGCAATCATATTTGCAGTTCTTGCATCAGCGTGATTTCCCTTCCACATCGTGTTCATTTACAGTGTTCGCTGAATCCTCATACGTTGACACGGACACGACTCCATCCATCCAGTAAATTTTTAACTTAGTCTACAGCATGAGTACAAAACAGCTTGTAACAGTGGTGAGGGTGCAAAC